CACCCAGTGCTGCCAGGGGCACCTGAGCTCTGCCTGGCCCTTGGCCTGCCCCGCTCTCCGAGCTTGCGCTTTGGGATGGGTGTTGCTGTGGTGGGGCCGTGGAATGATGGTTTGTGAGCTGTCCCCGGCTGTAGCTCTGCAGGGAGACCAGGAAGGCAGCCCCCAGCAGGCTGAGCCTGTAGGCCTGTGTGCCTGGATCATCCTGGGGGAAGGAGAGGCTGAGCTGACCTGATCCTGCCTGTCCCTGGGGATGTGTCCCTTCAGCCCCTGGGGTCTGGCAGTGCTGCAGTCGGTCTCCAGCCCTCAAGCTCAGACAGGCTTGCCGTCAGTTGCCTCCTGTGGGAAACTGGGAGGATCCCAGTGTGTGCTCAGAGTGCTGCCTGGCTTTTGTGGGAGCTGTTGGCCCGGCTGAGTCCCTGTTGGTCTAAAGTGGGAAGGAGCTGTGTAGCAGCAGTGGAGAGGCTGGAGCAGCCAGCACAGTGAGCCCTGTGCCCACCCTCCCCTCCGCTCTCTCCCAAGATGACGGCTGGAGAGCCACCGTGTCCCTGACGGACAGCGACCTCCTGGTGCTGGAGGGGGACTCCTACACCATCCGCCTGCTGCGCGACTTCCGCGTGTCCCTGTCCAAGATGGTGGAGACGTGCCTGTGCTACGAGATGGCCGCGATCCCCGGGGACCTGCACCACCAGCACAGCCAACTGCTCGACATCCTGGTGGATCTGCTCAAGGGCCCTCCCGGCAGCTTTGGCTCGTAGGCGGAGCTGGAGGCTCCTGTGGGGACTTGTAATTTGTATAAAGATGTTCACAAATGTTTATTTAAATAAAGTTCTATTTATCCCTTGTGAAGTCATCTCTCTCCATCCTAGAAGATTAATGTTGTCTGAATCTCCTGCTGTCGGCTCCGTGCATGGTCACCGCGTGGGAAGAGCAGCGGGAATGGACTGGGAGTGCCGATGGACCCGAGCTGCGTGGACACCCACCCGCCTCCTCCGTGCCCAGCGCCATCCCTGACGGGAAGCGAGGACGTGGCCGCCGGGGCCGTCCCGTGCCCCCTCCCCACGGGGCCGGGCTGGAGCCGCTCC